TTCTTTAGATTTGCTTGGGACTCGGTTACCAGAAACAGTGTGATTTAAAGTCTAGCATGTGAGAATTGGTGCTATTCCCAGTCCTTCCTGAGCAATAGGCACTGTTCCCTCTGATTATTTCAGATGGTTCTTTCCTGGCTTTGGGTGGTTTCCTCACACACGTACATATTGACACTCCGCTGAATACACAAGGGGGAACAGATCCTCTGCAGATCTGTAGCATTTTCTCTTTGTATACCTCTCTTCTTTCCAGTATTATATCCTAGCTACCTTGGTCATCCTGAATGCCCAGCTTCATTTCTTCAACTTAGGGAGTCTCCCAGCCTCCACTTGGATTCTCTTCTGAGTTCCCTTCTCAGTGCCATGACCTGGGAGCTCTCCAGGCAGTAAGCTCAGGAAACCATAGGGGCTGATTTCATTTCTTTCCTCTCTGTTAGGGATCACATCAATTCAGTATCTTAAGTTCTTGTTTTATTTATATATAAGTAAAATTACACACACCTACCTGCACTGGACAGTATATATAAACACATTACATATGCATGTGTACAGAGTGATTCAGGTTATATATATAAATAAATTCTTTTTCCTACTCTTTTCCATTATGGTTTATTAGTTCCCCGTGCTATACAGTAGGACCTTGTTGTTTATCTGTTTTATATATAGTAGTTTGTATCTGCTCATCCCAAACTCCTAGTCTATCCCTCTCCACCCCTCTTACCCCTTTGGTAAAACCACAAGTTTGTTCTCTATGTTTGAGTCTGTTTCTGTTTTGTAAATAAGTTCATTTGTATCATATTTTAGATTCTACATATAAGTGATACCATATGGTATATGTCTTTCTCTTTCTGATTTCACTTAGTATGATAATCTCCACGTCCATCCATGTAGCTGCAAATGGCATTATTTCATTCTTTTTTATGACTGAGTAGTATTCCATTGTGATACATACCACATCTTTATCCATTCATCTGTCGATGGACATTTAGGTTGCTTCCATGTCTTGGCTATTGTAAATTGTGCTGCTATGAACATAGGGGTGGGGTGCATGTATCTTTTCATATTAGAGATTTCTCTGCATATAGACCCAGGGGTAGGATTGCTGAAAGTGCCCACATATAACTGGCAAACCATTAGAGTGCGATTGGCTTTTCTGATTTATCCAGTCTTATTGTTTATGGCTGTAAATTCTTTGTCTTTAGAAATGCCTGATCTTTTATAGAAATAGGTACATTGTGATAGTTTGTTCTTATCTTTGATTGAATTATCTTTTGAATGCATTTGTACTAGCTTCAATCACGTATTTATGATTTACTTTTGGAGGCGGGTAGTAGGTACTATAAAGCCTTCTTGGGTTTTATACTGGAGAGGCTCATAGGATATGAAAGAATAAATTTATTCTCTATTCTAATGGCCTGAGAAGCTGACTCTCTGGCCATATTTCTTACCTCAGAATATACCCAGTATGTATTTTGTTTATCTGTTTGGTGAAAGAGCATGTACTGAAGGGCATACCATATAGGCAGTAGTTTATTAATAGGGGAAGGAGAAACTTCGTACAGAATTTTGAACCTTAAAAAGAACTACTCAACTATTTGCAGGAATGTTCTCTTTTTTTTTGTATTTGGAAATTCCTTATAATTTAAAGGAAATTTTTTAGTTTATTTAACTCTTAAGTAGGAAAATTAAGGTTCATTTTGTGATTATTTCCAGGCTCTAATGTTTTGTGATGGCTGAGTTGAATTAGATATTCTGTCATCCTATGGTTAAATTGTGTTATGTTAACTTTGTTTTCCTTGTGTAAGCCTATGGACAAGCTGAACTGCCCTATCTTGTTAATTTTGTTTACTTATAAAATTGAACATTTTAATACATTTGCTTAGTGGTATTTCTCTATAGTGAATTGTTTGTTCATATAGCATTAATGTTTGGGTTTCTGCAAGTTTTTTCCTTCAATTTGTTGACTTCTTATGTAACATTTGCATTTTGTCAAATGTTGAGGTAGTTTCCCTGTTGACTCTCAACTTAATATTTTTAACTATAGTTTTCCTCTCATGCTTTGTGAATATTCGGTAGGTTTGCTTCTGAAACGTTTAATGTGAAATACATGCCTGTGTTGTAGGTAAAGTTGAAACTTTATTCAAAACAAAGGAGAAATGTAAACAGGCAGTAGAATTATGTAGGAACACAGAGTTCTGGGCTGGAGATATAAATTTGGCATGATCGGTTGGTAGTTGAAGCCTTAGAATTGGATGAGATTTCCTACAGAGATGAATTTAGAAGGAGAAAGAAGGTGAGGACAGGATGGGTAGCACAGAAGGAAGGATTGGCCTTAGATGGAATGGGAGGAAAGATACACTTCCTTTATTGCAGTGGTTCTGAAGACTGCTTACATATTAGAATTGACTGAGGAGCATTTTCAAAGTAAGGATTGATGATCAGATCCCACCTCACATGCCTAGAAACTTTTTTTTTTAATAAATTTATTTCTTTTTGGCTGCATTGGGTCTTCCTTGCTGCACGCAGGCTTTCTCTAGTTGCAGTGAGCAGGGGCTACTCTTCGATGTGGTGCGCAGGCTTCTCATTGCAGTGGCTTCTCTTTGTTGCAGAGTATGGGCTCTAGGCGCACAGACTTCAGTAGTTGTGGCATGCGGGCTCAGTAGTTGTGGCTCACAGTCTCTAGAGCGCAGGTTCAGTAGTTGTGGCGCATGGGCCTAGTTGCTCCATGGCATGTGGGATCTTCCCAGACCAGGGCTCGAACCTGTGTCACCTGCATTGGCAGGCAGATCCTTAACCACTGTGCCACCAGGGAAGTCGCAAACTGGTATGTTTTAAATCCCCAGGTGATTTTAATGTGTGGCAAGAGTTAAGGACCAACCACTGCTTAGCATATATCTGTTTGTAGTAAGTCAGTGAGTCTTGAACTTTTGTGTTTTTCAGAATCACTGGGAGGGCTTTCTAAGGCACAGTGGTTGGCCCCATCCTCAGTTTGATTCAGTAGGTATGGGTTGGAGCCTGAGAATTTGCATTTCTAACAAGTTTCTGGATGATGCTGAGAACCACTGTAACAGTAGGTGAAGGAAAGGAAACCCTTAGGAAAGATGGATGTAGATGCCGGTGGGCTTGTAGGTTTGCCCCTAGGAAGTTTAAGGAGTTTCTTTCTTAACGTTGTTGCGTTGTTTATGATTTAGGCACGTTAGGGTCTCCACTAAGAGTGCTGCATGAGTAGTTGTAGTGTTAAGAGGGGTTTGAGGATTCTTAGGTGTTAAAATTGCCATCAAATGAGGGTGAAAGAACAAGTTGACTTTTTATTATATGTCAGTTACTTTTTTTCCACCTGAAGAAAGATCTCCTTGAGTCTTAGTTTTGTTGTCTAATGAATATGCACTGTTCTCTTTTGTCACTGGAGCTGAATATTCTTCCTGTATATCTTTGTCCATGTTATTGGTGAAAATATGTCAACAGGATAGATTCTCGGAGTATATAGATAGCTCTCTTCACACCGTCATCGTTAGCACCCTTGGGATAAAACTAATTATATACATTCTGCCACATATGATTGTAAGCCATCTTATATTCATTAATGTAGTTCTTTTGGTTTCAGGTGAGTCGTTTTCACAATTTATTTCAAGGAAAGATGGTCTGTCGTAAATGTATACTTGGAGAAGCTGATTACAGTTACATGGGGAGGAGGCGGCATGGTGTAAATGGACTGACCCAGAAGCCTTGATTTCAAATCCAATCTCGTTTACCTATGAACATCAGTTTCCTTACCTGTAAAATCAGAATACTAACTGTATCATAAAGTTACTAGACTGAAATGAGATAACATGTGAAAATTATTGATAAATTTTATGGAACTCCATAAATATTGTGGCAGGTGATATGAATATAAAATCACGTCTCTGCAGGTGATGCTTATTCTGCAATTGACAAATGTAAAACCAGTACATAAAATGATTTTTATGATGGTAGGGTCTACACAGGCATTCCTTGACTTTGAATGCTTTTTGCATTATGTACTACTCTGTGTTATCTTTAGCTCCCATGCTCTTAGCTGTTGATGGTTTATTGGTAGAATTCACCGCCTCCTGTCCTACGTCCACCCTGAACACAAAATAAACAAAACAAACAGAAAAAATCCAACTACTAAGGTTGATAATGTACACCTCATTAAATGGAAGGGAAATAGTACGAGAACTAATTTGTGTCTTTTGCCCTGTTTATTAATAAACTAGTTTTTAATTGGGTACATTAGTTCCAAAGATGAACATTCTCTTTGTATATAAATGTTCATTAAAATACTGTGTACTTCTAATAACTTCTCATATACACAGAGATTTGTTTTGACAAGTGTACACCATTTCTTGAACACTTACTCCATAGCCATGAAATAGAATATTGTTTTTATGTACCTTGGGTTTATAAAGAAGTATTCTATCCTTTGCAGAAAATCGAGAAAATAGAATGTTCTTTCTATTCTAAACAGTTAAACTAATAGATCTTTGTTAGACACATACTGCCTGAAAACACAGGCATGCAGTTTATAGGGAAACGATGTTATCCTTCTGTCATGTTTGGATTCCATATGTGTAAGCTGATCATGCCAGTCATCTCAACCCTATTAAGTTGAATGATATTTGTTTATTAAATAGAAAGACATTATCCATAGATTCACTGTTTTTGAACTGTTCATCTCAGTATGGATTGAAACCCTTATTCTCTATAGTGTAGTTAAATGGTTACAAATCATAAACAATATACTTACCAAGCACATGGAAGTTTATTTTGATTAATTTTGTCACATTTTGGTTGTTGGAATTTTACAGTATTAAACAGGCTCTTGAAATTATTGTTGATGTGAGTTACTGAAGATTGACTTAATTTCTCATGTTTTTATTTTTCAGAATTTCTGTGAACATTTGAATTTACTAACAGCTTTTAGTAAACGAATTCTAAAGTTTTCCTCCTTGTTTTTCTTTCTTATGTGCATCTTAAAGACTGGTTTTAAGGGGTGTGGCAGGACTTTCTGGACTCGATGAGTTTCCACTGAAATGTCGGAGAAGTCAGGCCAGAACACAAAAGCAAAGGATGGGAAAAAGTATGCGACACTCAGTTTATTTAATACTTACAAGGGTAAATCATTAGAAACTCAGAAAACCACAGGTGAGTAAAATCAGGTGGCATTTATATTTTTTATAGTTTTCATGGTTTTGTTTTATTACTGTAAATGACACACTAGAGCTATTGCTATTAGGATCTAGGGCAAACATATGTTAATGCAGCCGTGTTTACATTGGGCTTTTTATATATGTACACATCTTTGAAGGGATATGAATTTTTTAAAGTTGAAAATTTATAAATGTTTTAAAATACGTTTTTTTTTTTTTCCTGTTTGTTGTCATCAGAAAATAAATAAAACTCTGTGGTTCCAAAAGGGAGACTTGGTCAATGAGATTAATAGGCATAAATATTAGTGGATTTATTCTACCACTTTTAGTTATGGACTAGAGAGAGTCCTGTGGTTCTTAGTTTTGTTTTGTTTTTTAATACCTTGAACCCAGTGTTTACAGTGAAGAGTGAAAACTGGACCATGTACACCTGATAGCTGTATGGTGCATTAACAGTGTTCATTATGTACATAAAGGTAGCATATTTCTTCTTTTCTAAAATTTGTTCAAGTATAGTTGATTTACAGTAGTGTTAATTTCTGCTGTACAGAAAAGTGATTCAGTTATACATATACATACAATCTTTTCATATTATTTTCCATTATGGTTTATCACAGGATATTGAATACAGTAGGACCTTGTTGTTTATCCATTCTGTATTTAATAGTTTGCATCTGCTAACCCCAAACTCCCAGTTTACCCCCCCACTCCCCTCCCCCTTGGCAACCATGAGTCTGTCCTCTGTGTCTGTGAGTCTGTTTCATATCATGTGTATTCTTTAACGTACGAAGTTTCGAGTTTAAAATCGATTTCCTGGAAAAATTTAAAAACAGCATTGTCAGTGTTTTCTTTTTTGTTTATAGGGTTGGTTCAGTTGTTAGAATTTTTTTTTTTTAATGTATGTTCTATTTTATTTATTTTCTGTATACTCCTATTTATTTATTTATTTTTGGCTGCCTTGGGTCTTTGTTGCTGCGTGTGGGCTTTCTCTAGTTGTGGCGAGCGGGGGCTACTCTTCATTGTGGTTCCCAGGCTTCTCATTGCGGTGGCTTCTCTTGTTGCAGAGCATGGGCTCTAGGTGCGCGGGCTTCAGTAGTTGTGGTGTGCGGGCTCAGTAGTTGTAGCTCATGGGCTTAGTTTCTCTGCAGCCTGTGGGATCTTCCTGGACCAGGGCTTGAACCTGTGTCCCGTGCATCGGCAGGTGGATTCTTAACCACTGCGCCACCAGGGAAGCCCAGAAGTGTGGAGTCTTAACCACCGGACTGCCAGGGAAGTCCCGGTTATTAGAATTTTTAAAGCATCTGTTCAGTGGCTTGATAGTTAATTTTAGTATAATTTCTACATTGGGTTATGTTGCAGGTATGTGGCTTAGTTTAAATTTTTTCATTTTAAAATAGAAAATAATAATTCAAGATCCCGTTAATTCCTATTGTCTTTTTATTTTGTTTTAAGAATAAAATAGTTACTAAGAAAGTTGATGTTATTGATCTTTAGTTGCAGCTCGACATGGATTGCAGAGTCTTGGAAAAGTTGGTATTTCACGGCGTATGCCTCCACCTGCTAACCTCCCAAGTCTCAAAGCGGAAAACAAAGGCAATGATCCTAATGTGAACATCGTACCTAAAGATGGCACAGGATGGGCATCAAAACAAGAGCAACACGAAGAAGAAAAGTGAGTCAAAGTCTGTTAAAGAATGAAATCATTCCCCTTTCTTTGTGGGAACTTATGTTTGAGTTCGTTACGTGCTAGGTGTTGTGCTATGCCCTTTTTTATATAGTCAACTTTTGTGTTTCATATAGTCAACTTTTGTGTAATTTTTCCTATGCGTGGGTTTAGTGGCAGTATTTTTATGCGTCAGGGTAGAACAGTTGACAGAATTGCTAATCACAGTTTTCATTGTATCATACACTGTCGGGCTCCCTCTTATCCCATCCTCACCAAATCAGGCATTCTCTTTCTAAAATGATTTAAGAGTTGATTCTGTTAACTACTTTTCATGAAACTAAGAGTTTCTGTCTGCCTGATTCATTGAAACTATACCTGATGCACATCATAGGTGCTCAAGTAATATTATTTGAATGAATAAAGAATTCACAAGAAAGCTGGCGTGGAATTAGTAATATCCCGCTTAATCATCATTCATTCAATAAATATTTAGCATTCTGTGTCATGGATTATTCAGGGCTCTTGGTTTATTAAATGACCAATCTAAGTAGTGGTAGTTTTTAAAAATAAGACAAGAACATGAGTACTTAATGCTTTTTGCCTATATCTGTTACTAAATTTCTATATTCTGGTTTGGGGAGCTTTATATAATAAATACAACTGCTTGGGTGAAGCTTACTAAAGACTTGTTGTTCTCTACTTCTTAGTTGTTATAGGATTATTTTATAGTAGCAAGTCAGTTTTAGGTCTAAGTATACCAGAAATATATTGCATTTCTTAAGCCTGTTAACTGCCTTTTTCATTTTTAAGCCTTAACTCATTACAAGAATTGAATAAGACTGTAGACCCCTTTAAAACACCTTTTACTCATGGGGATGCATCAGGCAGGTTGCTGTTACCTCTTTTGATTAACAGTAATATGTACAGTGGTGAAACTATTGACTGCCAAATGGAGAGCTTGCTTATTAGCCTTAGCCCCTGGTTAATCCCACCAATCCAGACTGTATGTATGACTATAATGTTATTCCTAATTATAAATGTTCACTTCTTCAAAACAAAGTTTTGGTAGCTATGTTCAATAATGAGTGCTTCTTCTTTCTTTCTTTCTTTCTTCCTCCCTCCCTTCCTTCCTTCCTTCCTTCCTTCCTTCCTCCCTTCCTTCCTTCCTCCCTCCCTCCCTCCCTCCCTTCCTTCCTTCCTTCCTTCCTTCCTTTCCTTCCTTCCTCCCCTCCTCCCCTCCTCCCTCCCTCTCTTCCTCCCCTTTTCTTTCCAAAGTTAAAAACAAAGCTGTCATCTCCTTGGGTTATTCATGGGTAGAAATGAAAGGGGACAAAATTTAAAGGAATGTTGCAGAGGGAAAACATGGTGGTGTGCATCTGAGTAAATATGTAGCCAAAATAATTTGTATACAAATTTAGCTTAAATGCAATATTTATTTTATTTAAACATATAATATCTGAAATAATATATTCATATTTTTTTTAAGAGCACCAGAAGTTCCACCAGCACAACCAAAACCTGGGGTTGCAGCTCCCCCAGAAGTAGCACCTGCTCCCAAATCATGGGCCAGTAACAAGCAAGGTGGGCAAGGAGATGGTAAGTGGACATTAGCTGGGGAAACTGGTTAGGCTTGATAGTTACTGAACAGCCATGCAGGAGATAAGGGGCGAATTATGGTGTTTTGGCAGGGGTAGAGGACACTGTCAAAAGATATTATCAGGCCCTGCAAAAAAGGGTCTTGTAAAAATTCTCTTGGGCTACTTAAGTTTCAGTGTTAAGAGCCATGTATGAGCCAATAATAGGGATTAAAGAAGGAGTCTTTAAGGTACCTTGTGCCCCACATTACTCTGTCTTTACCCTACATGACCAGAAAATATCTTGTGCCTTCAGGTCTGAGACATAAAAGTACCCAGACGTTATGTTGATTGCTAGAAACCATATTATTTTCCATCTGTGCCCCTAAACCTCTTCTGTTTCAAATATGCTGTTCACGATTTCCGTGGTAGAGAAGACCTAGAGAGTAGCCATAAAGCACAGTAGCTGTAATACTTCCCTCCCTGCTAGGAATGATTGGAATCCCCAACAAAACTTAATTTTCCCACTTGCAAAACATGTCTATAAAACATTGTATGGAAAAACCCATCTGGGCCCTCAAGCTAATAAAATCAGCTCTTTTAAATTTATGGAAGTATAAAAATAAATAGGCGGGCAGGTAGGTAGATAGGTGAATGAGTGAATAGTGAGGTGCAATCAGTATCTCCGCAATAAATTAAAATGAAGCATTTTAGTCTCACCATGATACTTGTAGTGTTGATTCATAAATTCTGTTTTAGCAATATTATTTGAACTGATTCTTAGAGTTATTTATTAGTAGAGGAATTTTACTTATATTGAAAATGAAAGGAGTCATAATAAAAGAGAAACAGAAGTGAAATTCTCCTTACTTTCCTCATTATCTTTAATGAGTCCACTGGAACAATGTCTGGCAGATTCCTTTCTTAGATTTTTATTTCCTCATGGCTGTTCATTAACTTTCCAAGGGATTCTAATTCTAGATAAATTTAAAAGTTTTATGGATACAGTCATCATTGAAATGCGGAATAAATTATCAAAAAAAGACAGCTCTATCCTGGGAGGGTTTTTGAATTATCTTCAGTATAAAAGTTACATGTAATGTTTTTTTAAAAATATCCATAGGAATCCAGGTGAATAGTCATTTTCAGCAAGAATTTCCCAGCCTACAGGCAGCTGGGGATCAAGAAAAAAAAGAAAAAGAATCAATTGATGACAGCTATGGACCTGGACCCAGTTTACGCCCACCAAGTAAGAATACTTTCTATTTAATAAAAATACAGAATGAGATTATATTTGTGTTTTATCTTGTGATATAACCTCCTGTCTGCTATTGTTGTATGTATGATGACTCACCTAGTTTGAAAAGGCAGATAGTAACTGTAGTTGCTTGCCACTCAAGTATGGTTTTTACATGAACAGCATCAGTTTAACTTGAGAACTTGTTGGAAGTATATGTCTTGGGCCTCACACCCAACCTACTAAATCAAAAGTCAGCATTTTAACAAGATGCCTAGGTGACTTGTTTGCACATCAATATTTGGTCATTTTTGCAATAGTAAAATTTTTTAGCACACCTCCCCAATATGCAAATATTTGTTTATAATTTATATCCATTCGTTTGCTTTCTGTTAATATTCTGAACTCAAACCCAGGAACCAGTCAATTTGGATAGTAAGAGATACTTGTATTATGTACATTATAAAGCAGAAACTAAAAATAGAAATATAAAATCTTTGAGAGATTTTAAAACATCTTATTAATTATATTGGATTCATAGTGTTGTCACCAAATATCTCAAAGAACCCTGTACCATGTACAGGGAAGTTCCTATTTACAGTAATGGTTACAAATCCATGTTTTTGATAACCTAATACATTTTCTATCTCTTTGGCTCATTTCTTGCCAGGTCTGGGTAAATCACCTTTTTTAATTTTTATTTTTAATTACTGTAATGTGGTTGATGAGTTTGTATTAGGAATAGATGTGTCAGCTCCACTGTTCTCTTGTTTAGTTTCTTTTCACCAGTTACCTGTTGCTGTGTAACAAATTTGGCAGCTTAAAAAGACAAACTGAACTGGGCTTACCATTTCACACAGTATCTGAGGGTCAGGAATCTGGGAGCCACTTAGCTGGGGGTTCTAGCTCAGGTTTTGTTGGTTCTCTGTCAACAGAATTGCAGTGAAACTGTCATCTGATGCTGACTTGACTAGGGCTGCTGTTTTAAGCTCTCTTATGGTGGCTCATTTGTATGTGGGCGGCTCACAACGGATTTCCTCAGAAAAAATAAGGAAGGACAGACAGACATCTCTCACCCAAGATGGAACCCCTAGGCTTTCATAGCCTGTTCTCAGAGAAGACAGCCAACACGCCTGCCTTATTCTGCAGGTTACACAGACCAATCCTGGCACACTGCTGAGAGGGGACTACACAGGGTGTGAATAGCAGGAGGTAGAGACCATTCGAACCAAACAAGGTTTCCTTGTAAAACCATTTATCTCTTTTATTTGGTTAAGTGTAGTTGAATCAGGTAATGCAGTCACTAAATCTGCTCACTTGGGCACATGTAACTAGCAATAGTAGACTGAAAACGAATGAGAGCATGCATCACTGTCAATCCTTCTGGGTTATGGAACTCCTTCTGCCCTTCTTCAGGACACCTCAAGTATAACAGTGATTTTAATCTCTGTATCAAAAATTGGTGAAGCTTAATAGGGAAGTTCTAATATTTTCTTCCCTGACCCCAGTATTTGCTTTTGGTGGTACCCTCTGAGGCAGGAGTCCCCAACCCTGGGGCCACAGACCAGTACCAGTCCACAGCCTGTTAGGAACCAGGCCACACAGCAGGAGGTGAGTGGCCAGCGAGTGAGGAAGCTTCATCTGCCGCTCCCCATCACTCGCATTACCACCTGAACCATTACCCCCCCTCCCCCCGTTCGTGGAAGAATTGTCTTCCATGAAACCGGTCCCTGGTGGCAAGAAGGTTGGGGACCGCTGCTCTGAGGTACATCCTCTCTGCTTTGGAAGCCACTACTCTTGACTACCTAAACACCTTCAAAGTCTAAATTTCTAGTACAGCCTAGATTAGACTTTCACTATTCCTTCACTATGCTTACTTGCTTAGCTTCTCTTGAAATGTGCCTAGTTTGGTTTCACTCTGTTCCATTTTCAGATTTTTTTCTTATTTTTTCTCTCTCTTCATACCAGATGTTGCTTGTTGGAGAGATGGTGGTAAATCTGCTAGTTCGCCTTTAACATCTGACCAAGATGAAAAGTCTGGCCAGGATGAAAGCACAGCTGGAACATCAGAGCAAAATGATATCCTCAAAGTGGTGGAAAAGAGGATAGCTTGTGGTCCTCCACAGGCTAAACTGAATGGACAACAGCCTGCCCTTGCTTCCCAATACAGAGCTATGATGCCTTCTTACGTGAGTGTTGTTGAATCAGCAAGTGGTTAAATAAGAGGTTTTTGATCCGGATTCCAAGGAAAGAATTGGAATGGGAAAAAGTTGAGATCTTTATTTTCATTAACATCTAACTAAAAATTTAAATTTTCTTTGATTGTGAATTTAGGAATCAAATCACAGAAAGTATCAGCAGTACCCATGTTTTATCCTTAGGGATCATAGGTATTTTCATATCACATTACATTGTTTTTAGGTATTGCAAATATTGTTTATACTCAGCATTCCTTCAAAATAGTTATTAGTGTTATTTAATGAAGCACATACATTACTGTATCACAAATTTGTTTTTTAAATATTGTGGTAACAGAATTTTAGTATATTTGTTTCCTTAGTAATACTGTGTTTTTAATTATACATTTAAAAACATTTCTGTGAGAAGAGGTCCGTAAGATTTATCACACTGCCAGAGGGGTTCATGGTACAAGAAAAGGTTAATACCTGCTTTAGTTCTAGTTTTTATTAGTATACCTAGAATTTTTTTTTTAAACTTTTTATAATGGAATATTTTTAACATTCAAAAATAGAAATGATAAAAGAAAGCGTGAGCTTTCTTCCTCCCATAACTACCATACATCTTCAATGGTTATCGATTTGTGGTCCATCTTTTTTACCTATTTCTCACTACCTGGGATTACTAAAATCCTAGATACATCATCTCATCCATGTATATTTTAGGTTATATTTTAAAAGATAAAGACTAGGGGAAAATCCACAGTGCCATTACCACACCTAAAAAGAAATTCTTATTTATGTATTTATTTAATTAATTTTATTTTTTTGGCTGCGTGGGGTCTTCGTTGCTGCGTGCGGGCTTTCTCTAGTTGTGGTGAGCGGGAGCTACTCTTCGTTGAGGTGCATGGGCTTCTCATTGCAGTGGCTTCTCTTATTGTGGAACACGGGCTCTAGGCGTGCGGGCTTCAGTAGTTGAGGCATGTGAGCTCAGTAATTGTGGCATGTGAACTCAGTAGTTGTGGTTTGCAGGCTCCAGAGCGCAGGCTTAGTAATTGTGGCACACAGGCTTAATTGCTCCGTGGCATGTGGGATCTTCTTGGACCAGGGATCAAACCCGTGTCCCCTGCATTGGCAGGTGGATTCTTAACCACTGTGCCACCAGGGAAGTCCCTGAAAATTCTTTTTAAAATACCAAGTCAATATTCTAGTTTCCCTGATTATCTCATAATTAGGATACAGGTAACATCTATTCTTGAGATGGTTTATATTTTTCTTAGTAATCTTGTTATCTATGGGTACCTCTTTTCCTTTATCTCTTGTTTTCTTTGGAGCATATCTATTACAATTTATTTGTTTTCCTGTACAGTTCCTCATAGTCTGGATTTTGCTGATTCCATCTTTGTAGTTTCATTTAATATATACTTCTGAGGGGAATTCCCTGGCGGTCCAGTGGTTAAGACTCCACACTCGCAATACAGGCATGGGTTCGATCCCTGGTCAGGGAACTAAGATCCTGCATGCCACACGGTGCAGCCAAAAAGAAAAAAGAAAAGAAACAAAACTTAATAGTGGTTGCTTCTTGGGCAGGGGAAATTTAAAAAATAAACATATATATATATATATATATATATACACACACACACACACACACACATACACACACACGCACATACACACACATATATATACATGCACACACATATATATATACTTTTGACCCCCATATTTCCTATAAATTAGTAGTTAGATTTGGTGCCCTCATTCGTTCTTTGCTCTCAGTCTGCTGTGAATTTATATGACAAGTTACATGTGCTCAAGTAAATAAATTTACATTTTTTGAGAAAACCATTAATCTCAAAGGAAAGAACAATCTAGTTCATACATTTATTTTTCTTATGACTTAACTCCTAAGTAGTCAGGGTCCAACCATATTCTCTATTTTTTCTTTGTATCATTATTACTTAACCATTCTAAGGTAGAGGGAAATAAATTATTAAATACAATTACTTGTTAAATATTTTCTTAAAAATTTGGGGTGTATGATAAAATAGTCTTATGTGCTAACCTGACCTTGAATAATGATTTGCATCCAAATACTTGTCTCCTAAGATTTTTCAAATTGCGCTTCCAAGGACCCCTGCCTGAATTTCCAGGCATAGGGGTGGAATGGGATAAGGGGGAAGGTAAGAGGGGAGACCAAGTGAGCTTTGTTCCCAATTTCATCAATGAGTTTATTCAAATAAAATGTTTCACTAAACAAAAACATTTAAAACACCATTATTATGTGTTGAGAACTTATAGTTGTTTCTGCATTATTTTTTTTTTTTTTACTTTTTTTTTCTGGCTGTGTTAGGTCTTTGTTGCTGTGCACGGGCTTTCTCTAGTTGCGCGAGTATGGGCTACTCTTTGTTGCAGTGTGTGGGCTTCTAATTGTGGTGGCTTCTCGTTGCGGAGCACAGGCTCTAGGCGTGTGAGCTTCAGTAGTTGCGGCATGCAGGTCCTAGAGCACATGGGCTTCAGTAGTTGCGGCATGCAGGCTCAGTAGTTGCTGCGTACGGGCTCTAGGGCACGTAGGCTTCAGTAGTTGTGGCTCGCAGGCTCTAAAAAGTTGGTGTGTATGTAACTCTAGTGCAGGCTCAGTAGTTGTGGCGCACGGCCTAGTTGCTCTGTGGCATGTGGGATCTTCCAAGACTAGGAATCAAACCCATGTGCCCTGCATTGGCAGGCGGATTCTTAACCACTGCTTCTCGTTGCAGAGCACAGGCTCTAGGCACGGGCTTCAGTAGTTGGGGCACGCGGGCCCTAGAGTGCATAGGATTCAGTAGTTGCGGCGTGTGGGCTCTAGGGCACGCAGGCTTCAGTAGTTGTGGCTCGCAGGCTCTAAAAAGTTGGGGTGTATGCAACTCTAGTGCAGGCTCAGTAGTTGTGGCACATGGGCTTAGTTGCTCCGTGGCATGTGGGATCTTCCAGGACTAGGAATCAAACCTGTGTCCCCTGCATTGGCAGGTGGATTCTTAACCACTGCACCACCAGGGGAGTCCCCTGTTTATGCAGTTTTTGTGGCAAATTCCTAAATTTCAAACATTTATTAATACCACATGAAATTAATATCTATGCCTAAATAATCAGCAGAAAGATCTAATGCAACTTAACCTATGAACATTTGCCTCCAATAGTGTATTTGCTAATTTCAGTGTAAAGTGTGATGCAACCGAAAATTCTCCAGTGTTCCCCAAACAAAAAGCTTCTCCTGTTGTGTTTCAGCTCTTGCTTATCTTAATTAACTTTTGCTCCAACCCTGCTTAGAAATTTCTTATTTACACAGCACGATCATATAAACATAGCCTTTCTTCTAGTATAAAGTAATTCCCTCATCAGTTTTTTTTAAAGAGAAACTAAACTATTTCAGGATATAAATTATGTATTTAAGATAATACAATTTCATTTTTTTAAACATAATTTAACCTGGATATAAGCAAATAGTAAATAATCAAGCACTCCTTGACATTTCTTCCCTTCCAAATCATAGGATGAGTACTTTGGTGTTATTATTTGTCTTCATAATCTTAGAATTCTCCTAAAGTCAGACTCTCAAAGCCAAGTTCCCGTGGAGAGCTTCATCTTTGGGCCTCTGTATATAATTACTATCTGTGTAATGACTCAGAATCCACCTATGCCCTACCCATAGAAAATCTCTCAATTAGCTCCCTACCCACTTCCTCCTTCAACTGTGTTGGGTTATGGACTATCCTTTTATCTGAACTGAGTTCCTCTTTATCAGCAAATCTGCAAATCTACTCTTGCATTAGGATGAGGTCTCACATTATATCATTTCAAGTATTGATATTTGAACTTGGTTAAGAAACTGAAGTTTTCTGGGGTGCATGCATGTCGTTGTTTTTACTTTTTCATTTCAGTACACAGTCATTTTTATGTAACTTTATTAATGGGATAACAGAAGCTCTTAATAAGATGTGTCCTAGTTATTATCTGTATTTGTAATGACTTGGTGGAGGCAGTAGATATTTAAATGGCTTGTTATTGAGGGTGAATGATCATCTATACCAGTAGATAAAATTAGTTATTGACAGTACTGTTAATTTTAATCATTTCTATAAATTATAATTTCAGGCTTAGTCAGGGTGATCTTTTTTAAAAAAAAATAACTGGGTAGCTAGATTTTATCAATTTTTGTTTCTTTTATATAGATGTTTCAGCAGTATCCAAGGATGGCCTATCCTCCTCTACATGGTCCCATGAGGTTTCCACCTTCTTTAACTGAAACAAACAAGTAAGACTATTAAATGATTAAAGTTTGCAGGGTATATGTATACTTGTTAAGATTTTCTGGAGGTTGAGTGGATTATGGGGATTTATTATTCTGTCCTCAAGGTGCATTTGCCATTAACAAGTAATTGGCTAACTTTTGTAAGACAGAACAAAAATACTTTATTCTTCTAAAACTTCAAATCAGCTAACATAAAATTCTAAAAACTGAAAATTGTGGCCCCAAAAATGGATGGCACTTGTTTACTCCTTCTTCCTTCCATGATGTTGATAACCCCCATTCTCTTTTTTTTTGCTTAGTGTATTTTGAGATTAGTATTAGTCTTAGCCATATCATCCTTTAACATATATTTGTTTTATTTTAGATGTTTGAAAACTTTGCTATTAATTATCTGCATAAGAAATATAATTATGTATTGTCTTAAACTTCTTTGTTAATTTTATAATCTCTTCATACATGTCAGGTGCAAAATATTTTGTATATCACGGTATGGAAAACTAATGCTGGATTGAAATGAACTAAATTCCAGTCTTTTAATATTTTCCTAATTTAGTATCATTAAAACTTAGTATCCTTTTCTCTCATAACCTGTCACTGGTTAGAGGCCTTCGAGGAAGAGGCCCACCTCCTTCATGGGCCTCTGAGCCTGAACGCCCCTCCATCCTTAGTGCATCAGAACTGAAGGAGCTTGATAAATTTGATAACCTAGATGCTGAAGCTGATGAAGGTTGGGCAGGTAAGAGGCAAGATTAATTAAGCACTTTTAGTTTTTAGATGCTTTGAAGCAGTCAATCTGAGTTCTCCTTAATTTAACAGGTGCTCAGATGGAAGTCGATTATACAGAACAGCTGAATTTCAGTGATGATGATGAGCAGGGAAGTAGTAGTCCTAAGGAAAACAGCAGGTAAGTTGTGATATCTCTTACTAATAATAGTATGAATTTGTTGATGTGACATGAGCCATTTACGCAGAGAGGTTTCATTAATAGGTATTTGTTCCCCGCTTACAGAATTTCTACATTCTACTCCAAGGAGTTTTACTGAGTGGGAAGGCGATTAATGAGCCAAATTTTAAAAGTACAGATAATCAAGGAATTAAGAGTTTGGTATTTCTAAAGAAAATACATATTTTTAGAAAGAAGCTATTTAGATGCTTGTCATCTAATTGGAAATATTTTGAGAAACCGTACTTGGGACCATTTAAAACTTGTTACTTACTTGACCTGATCCATATTTATAAAATTGTAGAAAAATTACTTGGGTTACAACAGCTGCTTCAAGTCTTTGATTTTTTAAACTTAGCAAGGAGCAATACGGTCTTTGAAAATAGGAGCTTTCTCTCTTTTTTTCTGGAATATAGGGGCATCAGAGTCAGGAATATATGGGTTATGTAACATAAAAATTGGGCTCTTAAGATAAACAGGAGTTTGCATGCACATATTGGTATAATTTTTCAGTCATAGTGTTGTAATACACTGCTGTTTCGTGATCAGTTGTGAGATGCCTACTAAAATACTGTAGTTTGATTTCTCTTTTTCATTAAATCAGAACAAATTAGAATACATTAATTAATTAATTATCTGGAATATTACTCAGTTGTGTTCAGATGAGAGTTTTGGGTGGGGGTAATAGAAAATGATGGAATCATATTGTGTGTCAAGTGTGAGTGTCCGTATTTGATAAGTACTATATCGCATCTTATATCTTGTGGTGATAATCTGGCGAAGCCCAGACCCCATCACATTATAGATATATAGCATATATTTCTTGAATGAATAAATTAGCACTGCTAGGTTACAACACCATCTCATTCCTTGATACATTTTCCCCCTGAAATTGTATGGAAATAATGTCTTTTTTATGTTGAGAAAATGCATTTACTTATGGTACATTCTGTCCACTCTATTTCTTATTTCACCTGGATTTTGATTCTTCAGTGAGGATCAAGGTTCAAAAGCCTCTGTAAACACTGAAAACCGAAAAGAAGCAGATGAAGTTTTCAACACTAAGTCATCTTCTCAGATACCTGCCCATCCATCAGTAGCAAAAGGTCCCTATGGGAAAGGACCTCCACTTAATCAGGTTTGTTGGACTCATGGAGATTCTTGTCACTGCAGACAAGTGACAAGGATGAATTAATCATAATCATAGAGTTAGTTGGAAAAAGACCTAGGAAATGGGAACTATATATTTTTTCTTAAATAGCTCTAGACCTAAACCATAATTTTATTGCATACCAACAGGAATTATCAATGCAGTAGCTAAAATTATCAAGTAGAAACTAAAGTTTCACTCTTCCTTCTTAGAGCAGCTTGGGCATGTCAGAGTGGAGGGATAAATTATTTTTCCAAACTAACGTAACTGAAGTGCTTTATAGTTTACTGAATGCTTTGTAAATCCTAGTTAGTATTCATGTGTGAAATTGTATGTTATCTGAGTAGGGAAATCACACTAGGGAGTAGAGAAATCTATGTAGTCTGACCCATTCTGAAGAATGTTGTTAAAAGGGGGGAAGTATGTGGGCAACAGATACACTTGATCCTACCTCAAAGATGTAGCAAGAACTGCACTGCAAAGTGAGAATTTAACAGGGTGATCTTCTAGAGAGCCTACTTAAGTAATTCATAGTATACTCAGCATGTATTTGTTGAATTCATACAAAACAGTTGGAGGAATCGGTGCCTTCAAGGAGGTAAAAGTAAGTACCTAACAGTGCCGTGATAGGGTGCACATAGTTCTTAGAAAATTCTATATAAAACATTTCACAAAAGACTTGATACTTGAAGCAGGAATTAGCCAGTAAACAGAGGGAAGAGGGTGATTCCAAGCAGTGGGAACATGTTCAGGGTAGAGAAGTATAGTAAAGTATGGCCTAATCAAGAAGTCCCCAACAGTTTGACATGGGAGAGGAGTAAGAGAGCTGTGTAAGAACTAGTAGTTGTTAAGTCTTGTATGCTGTACAAGAGGTTTGAATTTTATTCTTAAGGCATTGGTTAGCCATTGGAAAATAAATTTGTGAATTCTGGAAAAGAAGGATTTTTAAAGTAATTTTTAAATAAAATCTGTGTTTTGTGTGACTTTTAACTTACTGGCATAATGGGGAATGATAAAAGAATAGAAAAATATAGACCATATCTTGATGTTTTGATTTGCGTGCGTGTGACACTGATATGTATAATAACAAGTGAGTAGTCTATATATAGCTGGTTCCAATGTTGTAGATGTTTCTTTTCCTTATATAAATTTGAAAGGTTTAGTTTGCCATTAGAAAAAATATTGGGCTTATGTAAATAAAAATTTGAAATTAGAGGCATACTTCTTCACAGCCAGATTACCTGGGCTAAAATTCTAGAATTTGTACACTAAGATTCTACTCTTAACAAAGTTAATTTGAGATTGTAACCTTAATTAAAATGGCTGAGTGATTGTATAGAACATAAAGTTATTTTGTAGAGACCGATGTACTTTTATTTAAAAAAAGGATAAAGATGTTTTGCTTTTTGCAATCTTTTGGTCTCACTGAAAAACATTGCAGTCAGAAATATTTCAAGTAGATATTTTTTATCTTACTTTGTAAAAATTCTTTATAATAGGAACGTGGACCATCTTCACACTTGCCACCACCTCCAAAGTTGCTTGCACAGCAGGTAAGTTTTAACTAAATGCTTGTTAATGATCTGTGTGTATTATTCGCCCTATTTGTTTTAATGGAAACGTCCTCTGTGTTTCTTATTTATAATTTTTATGAAACAGTTGTTGACTTTACCTTGTAGCTCCTGCACGTCTTCCTCTTTAGCCTGTCCCTCTTCCTTCTCAGCTGATGAGCATATTCCTAATTTTTCTAAGAAAATAAGAAGCAGCTCTTCTTCCCATTTGAGTACCCTTCCTGGTCTGACTTCTTTCCTGTTGCCCTTGCTCCTGAGGACGACCCTTCTACTTGTTCTCTGGATCCCATCTTCTATCAGTTACCAGTAATATTCTCTCTCATCTTTAAAAAAAAGTTTTAAACACCAACCCTTCTTTAACTCCCACTATACTCCATTTCCCCAGTTTCCTACCTGTATCTCTGTTCCCCCTTCATGGCAAAATTGTTTTAGTGAGCTGTTTACACTTACTGGCTTCACTTTCTCTCTCATTAACCCTCTCCAGTTATGCTTTCATCTCCCCACTATACCTTTGAAACTGTTAGTATCAAGGTTAGTAATGACTGTTCCATCTTGCCAAATACAGTTCTCTTGTATTCATTTACTTAATCTCAGCAGCAGTTGACATAGTTAATCTTTTCATCCCTCCATCCTTCTTAAAACTTTTTGAAAACTTGCTTTTGAGACATCGTACTGTTCTCTTTTTAAAATTTATATTCCTTCTGGACCTCCTATACTTAAACCTTTGGGTGTCGGAGGGCTCAGGGCTGTGTTCTCATTTCTTTTTCTAACTATATTCTTTCCCTGGGGGATCATCTGATGGCACTCAGTAAGTATCTTGAGCTGTTAAAGCTCTGTCCTGACTTCGAAAGTCAAGTATTCAACAATCGGCTCAGCATTTCCACTTGGATCTCTGGTAGATATCTGACAGTTAATGGTCCAAACCATAACAACCCCCACCCACACTTAGGCACTTCGGCTACTGTCTTCCCTATCTTCGATAATGACATTGCTGAGGTTAAAACATGGAAGTCACTCTTAAATCTTTCTTCTTTTTTACCTTACATCCAACCTAATCTATCAGCAAATTGTCACCTCTACCTTTAGAATATATTCCTATACTGAGTACTTGCTGCCACCAGATATATTTCATTTGGACTTAACAGGTCGTCTTGTTTTCCTGTCTTGCTGCCTTCTCACCCACTACCTCCACCCCGAATTCTCCTATAGCAGATACAACTTTAAATATGTATATATTTATATATCTTATATTACATGTACATGTTTTACATATATATATATACACACACACACACACATACATACATACATACATACACTGGGTCAGTTATTCCTTGCTCAGGTTCTTTTCATGGTCTTTAAAGTTTCTGTCTCCTTTTCTGATTTCATCTACTTTTCTCCCTCTCTGTTCTTACCACACAGGCTTTATTGCTCTTGTTTTAATTTTACCCTCAAGACATTTTATTTGCTGTTGCCTCTAACCAGAAGACTCTTTCTGAGGTTCTTGCTGTGATGGAGTTCTTTGCTCAGGTGTTAACAATGCACAGGCCTTCCCTGATCACTGTACAGTGACAGTGCACATACCATCACCATCACCGTCATCTCCACCAGTCATTTTCCTTTTAACCACTGAATGCTCTTTGTAGCATTTCTATACACAATAGAAACTAAAACTAAAACATCTAGCAGAAAATGTTGAAGAAAGTCTTTATGAACTTGGGCCAACAAAAATGTCTTAGATAAGACAAAAAATGCAAGAATTAGAAAGAAAAAGGAAATCGATCAGTTGGACTTTGAAAAACATCTCTAAGGCAAAGAAAAGATATCACAGGAAAAATATTAATACATCTGACAAAGAACTTGTATGGGGGTGTGTGTGTATTTAAAAGCCCTTACAAGCCAATAATAAGACAAAAAGTCCAACAAAATGATTTGGACATTCACTTCATAAAATAAGGTATACAAATGGCCAATAAGCACATGAAAAGATGTTCAGTATCTTTAGTCAGCAGG